TAATTTGCTTTGAGATTAGTGTGATATATGATTCAAATTTTGAAATTTACTTATTTTAAACCAATTATAAAGGAAAATTTATCTTGAAAGAATTTTTGATTAGATATACTGACTCTTTTTTTTTTCAAAAATAATGGCAATATGAGTTGTAGGTAAAAAGCTCTAGATTTTAATGTCATTGTAATCATCTTTGTGGAGTAAATCCATATATCCAAACAAATATATTTATATATTCAAATTTTAGAAGAGGAGATCATCAATATTTTAACTTCAATGCTATATAAGACTCCTCAATCTAATCCAAAATCACAAATCATATTTTAACTATAATTGAAATTAAAAATTAACGGCAAAACAATCATTTTATAATTTTATTACAACCTAAGGCTCTGTTTCGCGTAGCTGCAACTCTTCAGCTTTTCAGCTGCAGCTGCGCTGCCCCAGGAAGCTACTGTGGGGAGGTTGATTGTCTGTTTTGTGCAGCTGTATGAAAACAACTTTTGGGCAGTTATTTCTAGAAAAATGACGATGCTGCCCCTGTTTGGTAAAATTGTTTAAAATAGAACTGTGAGAACGACATATTTGATACTTCTGAAGGAGAATTGCACTTCTAAATAGTTCAAAAACTCAGATGCCCGACTTACTTAAAAGGGAGTACTGAAAGTGATAAAAGAAAAGAAAAAAAACCACAATTCATGAAAACCATAGCCAAAATTTCGTAAATTATCTTTCCAATAAATGTTTTTTTTATTCATTCCATCTTTTGTTCTAGCTAGTGTGATCAAAACTATTGTTTGAAATTTTTTTGAAGCATCCAAAAGTTGATTAAACAATAGAAAAATGCATGAAATCATATATAACACTACTATTAATGATGTTAACAATGATGGGTAGAACCTAATGTTTGAAATTAATTTAAAAAGGACATAATGGGCGCATCCCACTAATACAAGGTCTAGAATGACATCACTTATCAACAATGTGCCTCTTCTCCTCCTTATGTTCTGAGATCGCAAACTAATCATGAAAATAAAAGAATAATATAGCAGCGTACAAGTCATGCTAAAAAGAGGTGCAAGACAGACTTCTCAGGAGCTCATTAGCCATTCTAGCAAACAATAACTTCTAAGTTTGATCATAAAGAAATATTTGCTCAAAATGCCATGAAAATTATAGTAGTCCAAGCACAATCAGGCCATTTGATGCTTTCTATTGCTAGAATATAGAATTTCACCCCCAATGAATCAGAGTTAGTTTTCTTATTACAATTAACAACTCTCTAGGTATAAGCGCATTTTTTATGTATCTGACACAGAATTACAAGCATGGGAGAAAATAGAATTCAAAGGATTTGGAGACATGTATAGCCGAGGGTTGAAAATGTACCATTAGACAAATGAATAAAACTTTTGTTGAAGGTTAGGAAGAAGAAGAGTTATACCTAAGATAAACATCAATGGAATTTATCAATAAATTTTAAGCCTCAAGTAGACTCCACCAGTTCAAATAGGAATTGATGAGTCATAAAACCAATCTCAAATAATTGAGATATGTGCAATAATATTGATTATAACAATGAATCGAGGCTACCTTTAACATCAATAATTCAAACATCATTTTCCTTCTCACCCATAAAATTAATGTGCTTCTTACTAGTTGAGGAACACATAGCCCTCTCGGATAATTATGAATTCACAACAAAATTTAACATACCAATTGGTCAGATCGAATATGTAAATTAAGTATGAAGCAATGAATCCTCACGATCATGAAATTCCAAATAAAAACTTTCATGTTATAAGTGCACTTTGTATGTATTTTACAAAAAATTACAAAGATTGAAGATCCTAAATATAAGGTTGCATTGAACTGACTCACATTAGACTTCGAGAAGTTTAAATACTTCACAAACAGCAAGTAATTGTTCCTTTACTTCCTTTCTACAGTGAGAGTTTTGTCAATGAAGTTGTTTCTGTATGAAATTGAAAGATCTCTCATAACAAAGAAAACCCATGAACCAAAGCTCAAAGTCATCTTCTGTGATGATTTGGATGTACTTTTGGTTTGGCTTGTTTATATTCTCACTTTGGTAAGCTCTCTTCGTTCAAATCAAAGGGACTATGACCTGTACATTACCAACAATTCCATCAAAGAGGATTTCATTGAAAGAAAAAAATTTCTTTCCGATAAAGCGCTTAAATTTATGAAATTTAACTACCTTGCAAGGGACTCTGGCAGTTTCTCCAGAAGAAATTAGCTTGATGCATCTGTTGCTGCGGAAAGCTATATTTTCTGAAGAAATGAAGAGAAGGCCAAGAATAAGACCGGCTGTGGTTAACAAAGAGCATTGGAAATGTTGAGAAATTAAGGCAAAGAAAAACAGAAATCGACACAAATCCAGATGAGCACAAAGATTTAACAAAGATGTCTACGTCATCGGGAGCAGAGCGGCGGCTTTTCCACTAATCCAAAAAAGAGTACAAAATACAAAATTTGCGTAACACTTAGGGTTACATACAAGTCTATTTATAACCCTAGACAAATCAGTAATAGAAACTTTGGTGCAATATGTAATTACCAAATTGCTCATGTACAACACCCCCAACCCACATAAAAAAAACTCCTCTGATTTGGACAGAATCTTCTGCTCTAATCCGCTCCACTCCAGCATTTGTCCCTTTATGGTATATGAGTCATATCTAACAGGAAGGCATTCAACAACTTCTCTCCTTTTACAGTGAAATTTTGTCGGAAAATTCTTAAAATTCCTCCAGCTTGAATAACCCTCATGCCCAAGCTCAACTTCCCCTTCACAGTATGAGAGACAGTGGATCCCAAACTCACTGTGAGTTCAATTAAACAGTAAAAATTAGTTGCCTTTATAAATCAAGTGAACAGAAACTCGGAAATGTGTAAACATTGCAGCTATTTTTGTATGAAAAACTGATAAAGCGTAGAAACTCATGGTGGGAAGGGGAATTACCAAGGTCACATATTCCTTTAGCATAACTATGTGCGTTGCTCTTAAACTTATTCATCCAATCAAAAAGTGGATGATTTCTATCTGTGAATGAAGAATAATTAACATTAAGAAAACTATAAATGATTATAACATAGATTTGGGGGAAAAATAGATTTTAGTCTCCTACTCTTTTGAAATTGAGAAGAACCATAAGAAGCGGGCATGAGAGAGAGACGCTCGGCAGCTTCACCTTTCAAGTCCCCAGTTGCGTATATCACAGAGCTTACTGGAATTCCAATGGCCTGATTAGCGCTTATAAAACATAAATCCATTGAAGCACAAGGAAAAGCAGATGGAGCAAAAAAATTTTAGAACATTGGAAACCAAAGATAGGATAAAATATTCCTTATATTTAAGTTCATGTAATATACCTGGGCATTCAACAATCTCTTTACTGAACCCATACCTGATCATTAAAAGAAAAGCTCATAAATGTTTAGTAATGTTTTGTCCAGTTAAAATAAAACAATTCAAACTAGAAAATGCAATGAAATTGGTGGAGTAAATTTTCCTTGATTCGCTCCACTAGAATTCTAGATCACAGTGTAACCATATAATATAATTGAGTGGTTCTTCCTTTGATTCCAACCTAAGTCTTTCTTCAAAGACAAATAAAAGATGTACATTTCAGGTCTGATATGAGAAACAGAGAAAAAGAAAACCATACAATTTCTGAAATGTAAACATGCCCC